ATTTGTTACAAAATTAAGAAATTCAAGAGGCAAAATGTAATTTTCAAAATCACATAAAACTATTTATATTTTAAACCAATCTTAAGAAATATATTTGTAATTTATCCTTATTTTTTTGACTTTTTACATCCCCTACAAGATGCTTAAGAGTGCAATTGCCCCCTGACAAATCAAATGGAGTAAATTGGCACCTTAATTTTTTTTCAAAAGTGCAAATGACCTTCTTAAAAAGATCAATTGGATCAAATTACCCAATTGTGTTTAATTCAATTGTATTGATCTTCCAAGGGGCATATTGTACTTTTAAATATGGGGCATTGTTTTTATAAATTTCTTTTCACCTACTTATATTCCATTTAATCCACATCATTTGCTTATGTTCTAATAAGTTCTATCGATGACATAGTTATCAAAATATCCTAATAATATTCACATTTACAATGTGAATGTTTCGTGATGTGAATGTTCACACCATCGATGTGAATGTTAATGTGAGTATTCACATTGTAAAATATGAATATTCATATCACCAAATTGCTAACCGTTCAAAAAATATTTGTAAGGGTAGAAATGTCCATAAAATATCTTAAATATGATAATTAGGATTTGATAGATCAAATGTTCAAATAATAAGACTTATTAAAATATAAAAATATCTTATAAACTAATTAAAATATAAACATTTGAAAAAAAAAATTCTAATAAATTTCTCTTTAAATATCTTTTAAGAGGTCGATTACGTTTTAAAACATTTTTCAAAAGACAATTTAAATTATTCCCAAAAAATATATATTAAAGAGTGAATTGCACTTTGATGGGAGGTCAATTGTACTTTTAACCATTATTCAAGGGATAAATTGCCAAAAACGTATTTTTCATGTACTTTTGCCAAGTTTTCAAACTTAGCATCCAAACAATCATTCTTTATTACATTGCATGGTGTAACAGAGTATCCTTTTATTAAAGCAGCAGAACTTTATGTACATTTTCAGTCTCCAGATTACCAGTTTTCCACCCCACCCCACACCACGCCAACAAAGAGAGATGAAGGGTAAAAAGGACAGTCACTCACTCTCTTCATCCCAGTGGAAACATTATATTGTGTTTTGAAAAGATAATTAGAAGTTAATTTCTTTTGACTGTTTTAATTTTTTTTATGTGAGAGATAATATAAGACAAAATGAATTAAAAATTAACTCTTAACTTATTTTTACTTCTTTTTTTATTTCTTTAATTTTATTTTTTTTTTATAGAATGTTTCCAAATGATCCCTACATTGCACTTGGATTCAAACACCCACTCACCCCCACCAAAAAACTTTTGGGTGCGGATAGGATACTATGTGGCATGTCACATGGTGCCTTCAACTAATCACAAACATTATGGTCTCCCATGTTGTGTCTCCATCACCTAACACATAAATGTAACTCCTACTCTCTCCACCAATGAGAGAAGATAAAGGTATCACATGATACCTACCCTATCTGCATACATTAACACCTAGTAAAAAAGAATTTTCTACCTATATATTTGTTTTAGTGAACACATTGACAACTAAATTGGCATAATATAGAATTTCAAATTATTACTTTTACCTTCAATCAATCATACTTATACCATATTGATTTGGGCATTTATCAATTTTATTTTTTAAATTTAATAATGTGACAATTAATTAGAACATCTAAATTATCTCTTTCTCATATTTTTTATAAATATTAGTTAATCATCTCTCTTATATATCATTAAATTTAAAAAGTTAACGTATATATTATTTTTCTATTCATTTTTGTGTTTGATTAAGTCATCCTAGACCTAGCAACTGTTAGCAAAATTGTTTTCAAAAGAGATTGACCAAAAAAATATGAAGCAAGCCCTTACAATTTACCCGTATCAAAGATTTAAGTAAAAAAATCCATATCAAATTTTCATTCATTAACTCAGAGGCAGAAGGGGTGGCAGGGGCTTAGACCTTGCAAGGTTGTTGAAAATTCTACTAATGTGTTGTTTTTTTGGCTTCTTGATATGTAAGGGAGCGTTTGGCAATGATTTTTTTAATTGAGTTTTTGATTTTTTGACTATTTTAATCTAAGACTTTTTTGGTTATTTGATTTTCTTGTTTGGATTTTTTGACTTTGGAATGATAATTATTTTTTTGTCTTTTTGTGATTTTTGTTCTTTTGTGATTTTTTTACTTTTTTTTTTTTTTTTGTCCTTTTGTGATTTTTTAACCCAAGAGACCCCTCAAAGGGTTGTTTTGGGAAGATGGTAAAAAGTGGCTTTTTGGCTTTTAATCAAGTTTTTTGCTTTTTTAGACAAATGATTTGGGAAGTTGGTAAAAAGTGACTTTTGACTTTTTTTATTAATATTTGTTTATGATATCAAATCATAACAAAATGACTAAACTACCCCTATTTATTTAAAATATTTACAACTGAACCTATATAACACATTGTGACCCATGAGGGGTAAAATTGTAATTTCACCGTTGGCTAAAAACAAACTTGCCAAATAAAAAAAAAGCCAAAAAAGCCAACTTTTGGCTTTTGCTACTAACCAAAAAAAGTGACTTTTAGCCAAGTTCCCAAAATAGCCCAAAATAGTCTCCAATTTTACTATAATGTTTGGCTATGATTTAGAAATAGTTATTTTCTTGAATATAAATTTTGAAATATTTAGTTATGATATGTGGTGATGTTAGTCTTTGATTATAATTTATTGTAGTATTGTGTGGTGTTTTTAAGAACTAAATGAATAACTTAAAATCATTATAAAAAAAAAAATTAAAAAAAAATCAATAGTTAAATGTTGAGGTGCCTATGGTATCCACATTTAAGAGTATATGCATGGTAGTCTTTTCCCAATAATTTTATCTTTCTAGCCTTTAACTAACATTATGTTCGGGTATAATATGAAAAAAAAAATTATTTGTATAATTTTTTTGTTTTGCATGTCTATTAATTGAAAACGTAATGATATTTTTATAATTTTTGTACCTATAAAAGTATATATGTTAGTATTAATTCACATATAATACTTTCACTGTGGATGAAATAATTAGAAGTTTTTTTTTTTGTCAATTGTAAAAACATACACCTTGGCCCTTCTCACCGTAATTTCTGCGTCCATCACTGCATTAACTCACACTCATATCAAAATCAATTTGACTTGGTGGATATTTGGAATCTCTTAAACAAGTTAAAAATTAAAAGATCGTTGAAAAAGTAAAAAAGTCAACACTATTCTCATGTTTGGACAAGAAAAAAATATTGAATAAATAGAGGACAAAATTACGAATTTACCCTTTTAAATTCAACAAGAAAAAATGCATGCCAGTGTACTTATCTTTACACATTATACCAAATGCAATGACCTGACTAATTGTAAGCTATGAATTTCCAAAGTCAATAAAATTAAACAATGCACTGAATGCACACAGTATGTGTTAGGAAGGGTACAAGAGTGATTTTGATATTTGATACAACAATTTATTATACATTTTTTCATTAAAAGTTAAAAAATTATCCTAAACATCCATTTTTTTTCTCTCTACTTTTTTAGCTAAAAAGTCAAAAAGTACACTATATAGATCATCCCAAACAACCCCTTAATAAGATATTTACTCAAATTTAAGCTTAAATCTATAAATTTGTTCAAATAAAATTCTTACTCAAATTTAAGTGAAAGCTTGAGATGGCATAATAGGTTTCATAAGAGCATTTCTAATGATCCAAATCAAAATTATTTTTGGCTTAGGCTCTATTTATTGTTTGATTGAACAAAAAGTAAGTAAAATATTTTTTAAAGAAAATATTTTTGCATCATTTTCCTTGTAAGTCAATTTTTACAAAATTTAATCTCATTCACTATCTTTTCAACACATTTAATATTTTTAAATAAATATCTTAACTCACAAAAAAATATTTTATTGAATCAAAATTTATCTTTTAAATAATAAAATATTTTTGTTTCAAGTATTAATCAAAAGCCAAAAAATAAAAACAAAAATATTTTTTCTACGTAAAATTAATTTATAAGAAAAATATTTTTTTTTTGTGTAAAATTTTTACATCAAAACAAATTGAATCTTAATACAGTGCAAAAAAAAATTCATTTTTTTTTACTACCTTGCAATCATGGCACAACCAAGTGACAAATCTAACTAACTTTTAAAATTTTCAACCATTGAAGCGTTAGACGCAATGAATTAAAATTAATAGAGTTTAAAAGATGCATTGAATGTTGTTGCTACAGAGTTGTATATCTTGAGATAATAAATTATGAGTAATTAACTTATGTAATTATAATTATAATTTATAAATTTTCTATAATTTTAGAATTTTTTATAAGAGTCTTGATTTGTATAAGTTGCGAAAAAATAACTAAATTCTAATAAGAAATATGATATGTCAACAAAATAACTTTAGCGAAGGTTGAATCAAATTTAACTCAAAGTTTTGCTTCGCCATTTCTTGGTGATAATTTTGACTAGAAGTGTACATGGTGTAACTTGAAAATAAAATTATAACCAAATTATGAATAGCATATTGGCATTACTATCAGTAACCAAAATTTTAGCGATTTCAACCTGTTAATCATTGAAAAATATCTTCAAACAATTATCAAACATTTACATAATATTTTTCATATATACATATGTATATAACTAACTAATTTTATATATATATATATATATATAAAACACTAATTTACAATTAATTTCACACCAAAAATCATTCTCAAACTGATTTTTATTTTAATATTTTATTAGAGAAGTGTATTTGTGATGTGAGATCTAACCATATATATATATATATATATATATAACTTTTTTTGAGTTTTGACAAGCCATTTGGCTAAATTGTTGGAGATAGACTCGTTTTTACAAACCATTTGGCTCCACTACCGCTAATATTTACAAGTTAATTAGACTCGTTTTGGAAATAGCTCAAACTAAAAGACAAATATAACCTCGCCGTCAATAAATATTTTCTCAAAAGTCACAGAAAAATAAAACACTCCAAAGACACCAGAGGGTTTTCAAGCGACTCCTTCGTCTCCGGCGACGCGTCGCCGCCGCGCTTCTTCCTCCCGCCACCGCTCTCCGCCGTCTCCTCCGGCATCCTTCCGTTCAAATTCGGGCTTCTGTATCTCACCGGCCGATGAATCCCCGCCTCTCCGCTTGTCACCGGCGACCTCGACCTTCTGCCGGGATCTCGCCGAATCCCATTCGGAGCTCCCACATTCCGCCCCGCTGACGTCATTTTCCGGCCTTGAACTGACGTGGACGCAGTTGATGCAATGTGAGTCCTCTTCACCGGCGAAGGCTCCGATCGTCTCGCCGGAGATCTGAACCCTTTCTCGATCTTCGGCCTCTTTTGGGGGAGTTTGGCCGGAGACCTCTGAACTCTCTGAGTCACTTCTCCGTCGTCGTCCCTCTTCTCTGTCAGCGTCGTGGACAAGCTCTCGCTGAAACTACACATCTCTGAAAAATCAGAGACCTCAGAGACGATCTCTTCTGATGGTTTAATCAGAGCCGTTGGCTGGATCTCGACTTCCTCAACTACAGGGTGATGAAGGTGATTGTTGTTGTTGTTGAGTATGGGAGTGGGATGTTTGGGGATGGCAGTTTCGGAGAGCACTTCTTTCACGGTTTCTTCTTCAACAGGGGACGGAATGGGTGGTTGTGGAGGAGCTCCGCCGTGGGGGTCAGATTCGTGGAAATGGCGGTGGTTTGGATTAACAACAACATCTGGGTTTGGTTTGGAGGTTTCGTTGGTGGTGGTACTAAGGCAACAACCCATTTGGGGCTTAAATCTACAAAATTCAGAGAATTGAGTTTAAACACTGAAGTTGCATTGGCTGAGAGATCTTCTCCTGATGTCTTTTTTAACTGGAAAAAAGCAAGGACCAGAGGTTTGGAAACTTGAAAGGAAAGAGTGGGATGTTTGATTTTTGTATTAGTCAATATTCTGCTGGACAAATTTATCTATTTTTATTGAGTATGTTTGTAAAAAAATAACTCTAGACTAAAACCACAAGGATATGTATATATGTGTTGAAATTTGAATGTATATATGTGTTGAAATTTGAGTGACAACAATATTAGGTGGTCTGAAATTTCATAATCTAAATGACTTGAATATCTTAAAACGATATTGTTTTAGGTGTAAAATAACATCATTTTAACACATTCGAGTCATTCAGATCACTCACATAAATTTGAACCACTAACCATTTTTCTTTGACAGATTGTATTGTATTGTATTGTACCAAGTACTACTACTTCTAACTGATAGGAACTTATGAAGGATATTGTTGAAGATTATTTATATTTTTATAACGATACAATTCTATTAAGTGTATAATACAAACTCTTCATATATATATATATATATATAGAGTGTGTAAATTTTTACTGTATATAAAAATTATACTACAAAAAATTTCATCCTTAATACAATAATTTTTCCATTATCTTAATAATTTGATATTTTCCTAAAAACTGAGGCCACCCACAATGTGTCGGCCCATTGTTTGTTTCATCCCCCATGCTCTAACAATTTGAACATTTAAAAAAATTGGGTACATCCCCCTACGTACCTTTAAAATTACATTCACCCATTTATTTTTACTTTTCTCTCGTCAACAAAGAGCAAGGTGTTCTATGTACACCACATAAGCACTTCATCACATCTAATTTTTAATCAATTACATCGGTTCATTTGGCAATTTAGTTGGGATTAAAAAAAATATAAAAAATAAAATAAATGAAGTACATTAATAAGATAAAATGACATATTTAAATCATAATTATTTTTTTTCTCACAAAAATTAAAAAATTTATCAAACAAACTTTTTAGTCCTAAGTTAAAAAAGTCTGAACTCCAATAGGTTAACTAAATTTTTTTTTACCAAACGACAAGATTATTTTAAAATTCTAATTTTACCTACGTATAGTCATTGTAATGTTAAACTTGCCTCATTTTTATACCATTCGCCTTTTGAACTTTTAATTCTATTTGTTCATTTTTCTTCAGCCCCTTTTTCTCATTGTGACCCCTACCTAACCGCTTTTCCCCACTACGACCCCAAATCATCATGACCAGGATTTAAGGAACATAAAGATAGAGGAAGAGAAAAAGAAGAAGAAATGGTAGTGAAAGAGGGGTTGAAAGGTGGCATTAGTTGCCAACAAAATAGAAAGGAGTGGTGGTGAATAGTGGCAATGATATTGGACCACTGGAAATGGTAGAAAACTGGTGGGTATTTTAAGAAATTAGTTTTTGAATTCTCTGAGTTTAGTACCTTTTAGTAATATTTGATTCACTCAAATTTTGTGTATATAATCCAAAGAAAAACAAATGACAATTCTATTGTCTTCTCTTTCTCAACCAACCATTGGATAACCTAACTCCCTCTCTCCCATAACCTCCAAATTCACCACCTATTATGGTGTTGTTTGGTGCAACTTATTATAAGTTAAAAGTTGATAATCAGAAAGCAGAAACCAAAAACACTCATTCTCCAACTTCTAAATAATCAGTTTTTCTCAACTTATTTAAGCTATTTCTGTCTAAAAAACGGTAAGCAGAAGCTGCACCAAACAGTCTGGTACAAATTTTCATATTAAAATAAGCTATAATCACTTCCTATGATACACACCAAACACCCCCTATCCACCATTGCTACCACAGATAAGCCATTAACAAATTGTTCATCATATCCCTATTTGCCACTACTCTTCACACACCATAGTCTAAACACCACCACCACCACTACCATTACACCAACCACCATGACCAATCTTCATCAAGCCTCATCCATATTTTCCAACTCTCTCGCGTTGGCACAATCATATTGAAAACGGCAACCCTATCACCACTAAAACCCGAGGATAATCACCACCTATCTCTGCTTTTGAAAGGATCACCCAAAATGATATCTTAGAGGCTTCATTCCAATTCAAATTTTCAATACTTTGCTTCAAATTGATTTGATTCGAATAGATTTTGATTGATTCAAATTAAGAGCTTTCTTGTGCTAGTTATTGTTGCCATAGTCATCTCCATATTGGTCTTCCGTTGGAGTCTCTACCTCTCTATTGACTTTTAGCACCCAAACAACACCAACTAGCGCAGATCTCTTCATCATGTTAAGGGAGCTAGGTCTACAACAATGGCCGAGAAATGAGGATTAGGTTTTCTACTGAATGAGTCTAAGTTGTTGTTGCATTCACATTTACACTACATCATTAAGATCGTTGATGTACGATTGTGGTTGAAACAGTCAATAGGGATTTGGTAGAGGTGGTTTCTAGGTGCATGCATTTGTGGTAGAGAGGGCAATGGAGGAAGATGAATGATACTATTATTATTGGTTTGTAGACTATGGAAAAATTTTCTACATTACGAGAATGTTTGGTTGTGAGATAGTATACTCCTGTTGGGAAGGAGAATAACAAGTGTAAAATGGGTATTTAAGGGCTTTTTTTTTTTTTCCCCCCAAAAAAATATAGAGAATTGAGGGGGTGAGTGTTACCTAAGAGAAGTTGATCAAAAAAAACTATGAATTGACAGTTCAACAACAATAGAAATCTTGATTTATAATCAATTTTATTATAAAGTAGGATATGTTTTGATTTTGAAGAATTTTTAAACTAATATTGACTGAAATATTATACTAAAATATAAGTGATTACCTTGCAATAAAGACTGAAAAAGATTTATAGAGCAGCTCCTACCCTCTATTTATTCATGATGTGCAATTTTATAAATTTTCATAAAATCTTCTGTAAATCACTCAATTACAATAAACTAAAAAATTGATAAAACCAAATCTTGTTGTATGGTCAACCTCAATTCCTCAACCAACAAAATAGATAAAACCAAATATTGTTGTATGGTCAACCTCAATTCCTCAATCAACAAAATAGAAGATTCAATTCAGTGTTAAATTTTCTCAACCATGTTCGATTAGAGCCAAATCGATTACATACCTAACAATTATGAATCAACCAAATCTATATTTTAAAGAAATAATAAAAAGATCCATACCCATTTGGAGACTTGGGTTTGTATTTAAAAAGTCAAAAAATCACTATAAACTATCACATTTTTCTCTACTTTTTGTATATTTTTTTAGTAAAAAGTTAAAAAACTAACTAAAATAACCAATTTCTAAACGGGAAGGTTAAAAAAAAAAACCCTCTTTCATTTTTGCCGCAGTTAGAGCAATATATAAAACCGAGGAGTTACCGACATTATCCTAACAGTACCACACAAATTAATGAGTGTTCAAATTTTAAAAAGATGGAAAGTAATGTGGGAATGAGTTGAGAAAAGAGCAGCAAAAATAGTACCACACCTGTCAAGAATCATAAAGCATTTAATAGAACTCCAGATGTCTGCTGTGTGTATAAAATGTGCACAATAAATACATATGGCCCAATACAAATTATGTTGCACACGACCCATCAACTGTCCAAAGTTTAAAAACTCTTAGATGGCAGGTAGGAAGTACAGGTCCTAATCCTCTCTACCCCATTCCTCCTACACACACACACACACACACACACACACACACACACACCCATCACTGGTCCCACAATATTTTGGAGGCCTCTCTCATCAAACAAATCATGAAAATTACTATACAAATTGTCCATGCTTTGAGGTCCCCTACATTGATGGTTTGGCCCAATACCATGAATGGTCATTATTTCCAAGATAAAAACAATATAATAGGACCAGCAACTCTACCAGAGTTCAGGCTGCCTTTACTTTATGGGGTTCACAGGAACCAGTGTCCCCAATTAACACCTTAAAAGTTGAGGCGTCAGATTATAAACCCACCATGAAATGGCCCCCCAATTGTGTGCAAAATCTTTGAACATTTAAATTTTATAACTACTAAACCAGGAAAGAATCAGAAATTCAAATTTTGAGTAGCTCAAGAGGTTAATTTTAAGAAAAATGCTAGAGATCCCAAAAGTTTTACCAAATTTTCTACCAAATGTATGTAGTGGATTACCCTAATTTTAAAGGAACAAAGGCTTTTTGTTTTTGTCATTGACATGATATGTCCAAACTAGTAGGCTCTCTTAACAAATTGTCGGTGAGACTGAAGATGCATAAATTGGAGGAGGAAAACAATTTCTGTACCTCAGAGCAGAGTTGAATATTCTGTTAATGAAGTAAAAAGGTCAGAGTCACATCCAGGTACCAGACATGTAGATGCGCTGTTTTGTTGCGCTTTTGCTTCTTGCACACACCACCGACAGAAAAGTGAAGTTCCAAGACACAGTGACAAATGCAATGCACCATCCTTGAGAATAGAAAGGAAGGATTGTTATCGCCTATTGCCATTATTAACCAAATAAAGACCAGCGATTTGAACAAAGGAAACGTGATAGAATTTGATAACTACAATTAATTTGAATATACAAGTGAATGAATTATGACTAACCAACAATATTGGTAATCTCCGGAAGCGCAAGCTCATCCAACACCAAGGAGACACAAGACTAAATTGACTCTAGAATGCTACCTTCCAAAAGCTCACTGATTGAGCTTGTCTACTCATTCCCAAAAATAACAACGGAATATCGTTGAATTTTGTGAGATCGAGAAAAACAAATGGTGGTCAGTCAAGAGACATGACTCGATCAAGAGGATATGGCACGATCTGATTCTATCATGGATTTGATGTAGAATTCACCTGCCTTGTATGAGGACCTGACCATTGGACCAGATGCCACATACCGGAATCCCTGCCAAATTCCAAGCATGCATATTAGTATATCATTTAATGTATAAACCACAAATGGAAGCATCCAAAGCAAGGAAATGAAATCAATGCTCCTACACTCTTCTGCATTACAAAATTTTAAATGAATAATGCTATACTAACAGAGGAGTAAGCCAAATCTGATAATATTCAAGTGAAGTTTGATACAGTGGCTTAGCATGTGGACAAACATGATGCTTGCCAAAAAAACCATTGCGGATAAACATAATGTTCCAAGATACAACATAAGTCCAGATTCTCATTCTTGCATCTTTCTTTCTCCCTCTACTGTTGTAAGGTAGAGGCCACAAAGGAAAGTTCAAAGGAAATGAATTGTGGGAGTATGTGGACAAGAGTTCAAGCCTCATGTGTCACAGAAAAATAATGCCAAAGTTTCTATTATTGATGCCAACCAAGACAACAAGACAAATCAGGAATTTAACACAGCCTACTCAGTTGCTGTGTAATCAAGGTTAGGGTTGATTTCAGTCTTTATTTATATTTTGTATTAGTCAATATTCTGCTGGACAAATTTATCTATTTTTATTGAGTTTAATCAAGGGTATTTAGTAGTTTTCAGATTTGTTAAACATGGAGTCATGGACTATATAGTACGGATGGATGTACTGGGTCGTATTATGTATTGATTTGTGGTCTCTTTGTTGATTTCAGTCTTTATTTATGTTTTGTATTAGTTAATATTCTGCTGGACAGCTTTATCTATTTTTATTGAGTTTAATCAAGGGTATTTAGTAGTTTTCAGATTTGTTAAACATGGAGTCATGGACTATAATATGGATGGATGTACCGGGTCATATTATGTATTGAGCTGTGGTCTTTATTAGGTCTAAAATCTTCTAATTAGTCAAAGTTTCTTAATTCCCTATTCTTGAGCCTTAAAATCCTACTAAAATTTTTGTGAATTCAATTTCTCACTAGTTACTCATACCGAAAAAACTCATATTTAAGTACCCCATAACCTATCCAATTGAGCGCAGATCAATCCCAATCCTTTCCCCTACTCTTTGGCTTCTAGTTCCACCCTTGAAAACCTTAATGCTCTATTTGGTTCATGGATTTGAGAAAGAAAAGGAAAAAAGAAAACATGGAAAATAGGAAAAACAAATATGGTGAAAATCTGTGATAAATTTTAGGAATAGATATATTCTCCTCTTTTTCATGATTTCTTATCATTTCTTAAAAAAAAATGTTAATATAAAATTTTCTTAAGGAGAGAGAATACAACTGAAAACAGTTTTCCTTCTCAATTTCCTTTCCCTTTCTTTCTTTTTCATTTTCCTTCCAAAGACCAAGGCAGCAGAACAAAACAGTTACCATCCTGAGAAATCTAGACATTATTTTCTGCAAATCTAGCGACTGAACACTTTCAAAATCAACCAATTCATCCACCTTTCTCCTGCAAACTGCAAACCCTCGACAAAAATAATTGTGGGCAACTTTAATCCAAGTTTTTCCCTAGGAAATCAACCAAGGCTTGTCCCTGGGCCTCCCCCCTAGTCTTCATGGTACAATGATAAGTAGCTGGTGGCACTCAACAAGTGCTGGAAAAAAATCAGTTGGCTGCAAAGGAGATTTTCCAAAGAAACTAGTCTTGGGTTTTAAGCACAGAAGAAAGTAGGAGATAATCCACTCAAACGGAAGTAGTGGCACATAGAATGTGGAAGAGAGCATCCAATGTAGCAAAAGAGGTCAACAGACACGATTATACCCTCCTCAATCCTATAATCGGTAGTCTACAAACTAGTAATCAAACTATGCTAAATTTATTGTCCAGCATAAATAGAATGACACAGTCACAAGACTCAACCAAGAAATGTTACTATTAAGAAAATTTCAGTTAACAAGAAATTCTCCAAATTAAAATGTTCTTTAATATTTAAAGACAAAATGGGCCAGAGAAAGAGAGAAATGAGCAAGTGAGTGGGGCCATTCACCTAGCCAGTCCATATTCTAGCACTCACTACCTTAGGCTATGAAGCGCAGACACAAACACAGACACAGACACAGACATGGACACGGACACGGGACACGGCAATTTCCAAAAAATGAGGACACAAACACGGCAGGGGACATGGCAATTTTTATTTTTTTTGAAAACATATTTTTATGTGCTATGTACATTCATATTACATTCATCCTAAATCAAAATTAACAAACACTAACATAGCAACATTAATTCAATAAATATAACCACTACATTTAAACAAATTAATAAATCATCCATTCACAAAAAAGTTATAATGAACGAAAGAACTAATACGAGAAAGGGAAAACATTCAACATCCAAAAATATCTTTCACAAAAGCACTAAATAAGAGGGCAAAAGAAGTAAGAAAAAAAAAAAAAAAGAGTTGGCCTTCCAAAGCTTCAAGTAGATCTAATTTCTTGCACGTCTTCATCATCATTAGCATCACCATCTATTTCTTCGTTTGCACCTCCATCATCTGTAAACAACACAACCTCCTTCTCAGGTTCATCAAGTGAGAGATTTGCAACCTCAAGCATCCCAACATCATCAAATGAATCAAATGTGTTGCCCACAATATCCCATAACTTGGTCTCTCCTTCAAGGTATTGTGGGATTCTCCTTGATAAAAGACGGAGGTTGCTATGAACAAAAAGCAAGTCTTCTACACGTTGGGGTGTCATTTTGTTTCTTCTCATTGAATGGATAAAAGAGTATATACTCCAATTCCTCTCAGCACATGACGAAAAAGAAGGTTGCACAAGTAGCCTTAAGCCAAAGATTGAAGAGTGAGTGCAGATGCACCATGAACAACCCACCAACTATGAGGATCCATATCACATCTATCTCCAATAGAATCAATGTCAGCAAATGGCCCCTCTTTGGTTGAGAACTTGGCATACTCCAAATTTGCTCTAGTGTGCTCCATTGGATCATCAAAGAACCTTTTCAAGCACTTTTTTCTCTCAAGGCAGACCTCCTCATCCCTATATGGGGGAACTGGGCTTGGATCCTCATGAAGCCACACATCACTACAATAACTAAAATGAAAAAAATGTACAACTCATTATAAATGTGAAAGAATAATATTAAGCTTAAATTAATGAAAATAGTAAATTGTGTTGTAATCACCTTTGATTCAATGAGTGTGCCAAGCAATGAAGTGGTGTGTTGTTCTTGTTCCACCGGTCTATAAGAATATGATGTACTACATTATGGAATGTAGACTCTTTTTTTAGTCCCTTTCCTTCATGCTTATATATCACCATCTTCACTTTTTCTATCATTGTATCCCACATGTCATATACTAAGTGAAGGGAAGGTCTATCGGTATCACAAACTCTAATCATGTCATAAATAAGAGCAGCAAAGGAAAGTATGGAGTCGACTAGAACCCACCAAAAGTCATCCAACAACTTATCCTTCACAAACTTGGCCCTACCAATATCATCATCCCTATAACAACTCCATTTGTCACTGATTGCCATTGTTTGGAGACCTTGCTTTATCAACTTGACCCTCTTAAGCATGACAATGGAAGAAGCAAAGCGTGTCTCGGCAATTGAAAGAAGCTTCAAACTCACAAACTCATTGTTCATTGCCAACCTCATGAAATGATTACAAACAAAATTCTTGATCATCATCACATCACCCACAATCTCACTAATCCAATTACACTCTTCAAATGCAACTAAATTATTTTCCACATTCTTGGCAGCACAAATATTATTCAAGGCAAGATTGAGGGTGTGCACAACACAAGGAGTCTAAAAGATGAAAGGAAATTATGCTTCAATTAGGTGCCGCACCACCTTGCAATTTAGGGCATTATCTGTAATGACTTGAACCACTTTTTTAGGCCCAACCTCTATGATTACTTCCTTCATCAAGTTGGAAATAAAATACTTGTCCTTTGTTTCCCCTGCACAATCAACCGTTTTAAGAAACATAGGCCCACCTCCGGTAACAGCCATAAAATTTATTAATGGCCTTCACTGGGAATCACTCATCCATCACTGACTATACTCACACCCTTCTCTCCCCATGTGCCTCGAATAGGGTCTAACAACCTATCAATGTTTATCCTTTCTTTTTAAAGCAATGTAGTTCTCAACATGTTATACCCAGGCAGTACATATCCTTGTATGTTGTTATTTGCAGCAAAAGTAAATGCACTAACATAGTAAAGATTTTTTGCCAAATGAAATGGCAAGCCTGCTAAATAAAGCATTCTAGCTATCTCACCATTTAATCGTTCTCGAGCCCCACTGTTAAATGCTTTCATAATATGGTTACTACTTCCACTTCCTATAGCAGTTGACCTCTTCCTTTTTGATCCATAGATCCCCTCTGGTTCATTGAAATATAAACTTAATGATGCACTTGAAGTAGAAGGACGCAATGGAACTTTCTTCAACCTAGAGTTTTTCAATTTCAACTCTGCTTCTGCAATTACTCTCTCAAATTCAGCTTTATTCTTACTTGTTACTTTTGGACACACTTCTATCCCTTGATTTTTAATTTGCATCAAATGGGCTTTTACCCTAGTGTATGAACCTTTATGTGTAGCCCGACAAAAGTTGCATTGAAAAGTATAGTTCCCCCCTCATGCACCAGATTTTTCAAATCTAGTCACATATTTCCATAGTGGCTTATCATCTTCAGCATCAAAGGGAGAAAAATAAGCTGGTGAGACAGGAGGGAGAAAGGGAGGGAGGGAGGGATGAATCAGAGTGAGGGTAAGGGAAATGAAAGGTTTGACAAAAAAAGAGAGACAAAAGAGGGTGAGAGAGACAGAGATATAAAGAAATAGAGAGTGTGGGTGAAAGGAAGACGAGGTTTGAGGGGGGGAGCGCGCGCGCGAGAGAGAGAGAGAGAGAGAGAGAGAGAGAGAGAAATGAAAGGATTGAAGAGAGAAAGGAGGTGGTGAGTAGTCAAATCTCTTCCTTGGGAAGGGTTTTTTTCTTTTAATTTATTGATGGGAAAGGTGCGAGAGAGATATAAAAAGAGAGAAATGGAGATAAGAGTGTGTGAGAGAAAGATGAGAAGTTGGAGAGAGAGAGAGAGAGAGAGTGAGAGATATAAAGAGAGAGAAATGGAGATTAGAGTGTGCTTGTGCGTTCGTGTGCGTGTGTGTGTGTGAGTGTGTGTGTGTGTGAGAGAGAGAGAGACAGAGACAGAGAGAGAGACATGAGGAGTGGGGAGGCAAAAGAGTCGTTGTGTAGTCAATCTCTTGGGAATGGTCATTTGTTTTTATTTATTTATTAATGTAAAGGGTCAGTTTGTGCATTGGGAAGATATATTGGCTTTTGAAAGAAAAGAATTAAAATTAATATAATGAGTGAGTCTTGCACGTTTAAAATATCTAGGTAAACAAACCTGACACAATCATTGAAGTGTACAAATGTATGTATATACATAATTCGGTCGCGTCCGGTTAGGTGGATTCTGTTCTATTCAGCCCGACATCCGACCGAAATTTGAAAAAAATTATGAAATGAAACAGCAGCCGACCATGTGATTGGCAAAACCGCCCGTATCATGGTCGAGTCGGGCAGGTTCGAATCCAGTCTTCAGGTGGTTCAGATTTTTGAACACCCCTAGCGAGGGTAGAAGTAAAGTGTGAATATTGTTGCTCTAAAATGTGAGAGACTAAGTTGTGTGTGGCCTGTGTTACATGGACTCGGCACTTTGGGACAAAGTACCCATGTCGACACGACACGGGTGCGGGTGTGGGATCTGTGTCGAATTCGCCTCTGCTCTCTCAGACACGGCTAATCAAAAAGGAAGAAGAAGGTTGAGATATTTACATTGATGTATAGGTTCAAGATCTTGATCGTGTCTTTCGATCTTCTTCTCTATCTCGATCTCCTTCTCTGCCTCGATATCTCTCTCGATTGTGCTGTGCGTGTGTGAGAGAAGAGACAGACCCATCGTGTTGCTATGCGTGTGAGAGAGAAGCGAAGAGGAGACAGACCCTTCGTGTTGCTGCTGTGCGTGTGAGACTGAGACAGACCCATTGTGTCAAAGCTACTGCTGCTACTTTTGTTTGTATGAAACCCTAATGGCTGGAACTTATGGGCTGGACCTAATAAATAAATAAAAGGCTTGGGCTATAGCTAGTTAATATTATAAATCTTAATGGGCTAGACCCAAATAAATAAATAGAAAGTTTGGGCAACCCAAAAAAATAAAGAAAAAGTTTACACCTGTTGGCTGGTTTGTATCACAGTAAACCTTAATGGGTTGGATTCAAATAAATAAATAAAATATTTGGGCCTATTTATAAACTCTATTCAACAATAACATAGGTTATTATATAACTTATCCATATGTTTGATTCTAGTTATAAAAAAAAAATTATGGGGTCAACTTTTTTTTAACTCATCTTCATATAATAAATATATTTAAAAAATAATTATTTAACTCATTTTTATATAATAAATATATTTTTAAAATAACTATTTAACGTGTCCCCGTACCCGTATCCACATTTGGATCCATATCCACGTATCCTCAATTTTTAATTTTATTCAATCTTAGCAATATGTTTTACTATGATGTAATTATCAACTGGCAGCACCAATTGAGAAATAACAATAACTATAACTATTCTTGTAATGCCCATCACTTTATTATACCATGTAAAAACATGACACAAGAATCTACAGTGACTATGGATGTGAAAAAGGGCATTTCACAGATAGTTGAGGGGTCTTAGTGTAATTAACCCAATTTTGATTGACGAAAGAAGTTTATTTTAAATTGTAATGCACCAAACTTGATTCCTTCTAATTATATACGAAATCCAAAATGAAAAACCTAAATCCTACCTTAAGTTGATAAATTTTGTTATTTACTGGCCTTTTTTTCTCACAAAATTGCTCATTCATGCTAAGCATTAATCAATTTGAAAACATTGGAATTGAAATCAACATCAATGAATAAGAAAATGAAGTCAGATAGATGAATCACCTGCAACCTCTGGTACAAGTATCTCCAAGAATCATAATCGTGGCAGTGGCCGTCCCGGTTTCCCCACCAGACCAACATTCGCCCAAATTAGGGCACCGGGCCTCTTCCCAGACGGTGTGAAGCTTCAATTTCTTCGACTTCTTCTTGATCTGAGTGTACTTGTCTCCGCCGGGGATCGATTCTCTCATCCATTTGGGCTTGGGGAGGGGTTTCTTCTTGGTGCCGACCTCGACGGAGTAATCGTCGATGGTTTGGAGGCGGACGAAGGAGGCGAGGCGGTGGCGGAGGTCATCGAGGCTTTGGGGGTACTGAGTCTTGGGATGTTCGATGGAGCGGGAGAGAACAGAGGGGTGGTGGGAGTGAAGGCCGTTGGTTTTGAGAGATGCATTCTGTCCCTCTATCGGTAAATTATGCTTGATTTGGCATAAATTAAAAATATATATATATTAAAAATATTAAAAAATTACTATAAAAATCAAAAAAATTATATTGTTTGAGAAAAATTTATAAGGAAAGCCTAAAAATTTTAAATTATTATTTTGAAAGTTTGTGGGAGAAGTTATAGGAAAAAATTATTATTTTATACTTTGGTCAAGTTTGGCGTACCTCAAATAATCTATCTTTTTATTTTTTTTATCACATCACCTCTCTACTGTTCTATACATTTTTTCGTAAAAAAACAAAAAGTGCACTTATTTAGTTCATCCCAATTCAACAACCCAAAAGTCAAAAAGTCAATAAGGGTAGAATGGTCATTTCGGTTTTATTACAATATTTTATTATACATCTTTTCGTAAAAAGTTAAAAAATTATTCCAAACATACATCTTTTTTTTCTCTACTTTTTAACTAAAAAAAGTTAAAAAGTGCACTTATTTAAAACATTTCAAACACCTACTAAGAATCAATCCTAATAATTCTATTGCTATTGAAAAGTATAATGTAAAAATGGGTTCTGGCTAGGGTGGGTCCGAGTCCAATTTGAATCTTTGGATTTGGATTTGAATCATCATTTTGAAACCTGGCTCGATCCGCACCCCAACCCATAACCCAACCCATGACCCAACTCATCGGCCTGTTCTCAACCCGAGGCCCAGTGTCTTTTTTAGTAGAAAATAATAAAATTTTGGTAGAAATAATTTTAAAAAATTAAAAAAAAAAATGGTCAGACTTGCCCAAGCTCAAGGACCGACTCACCAGCCCGCCCAAGGCTCGAATACCCCTAGGTATGGGCCTAATTTTTTGACCTGTGGGTCTGCTCGAATTTTGGTAGGAGCCCGCAATGCTTGACATGGGTCAGGCCGAGCCAAATTTACAACTCCTAAAATGAAGTGTCAATAAAATTATCGTTAAAAATAATTTTTTGTAATAATTAGTAATTTTTTTAGAAATATGTATACACAAGTTTTAATTTATGAATTTATATTCAATTAAGTAATAACTAAGATTTTTTTGACTTTCAAGTCTCATTAAATTTTTAATAATCAGAATTGTTCTTCAAATAATAATTGTTTATCATTTATGATTATCTATAAAGGAACATGATAATTTGACATTTATTTTGATTTTTAAAATTTTAAAACATTAACTTTCAAATTGAAAAAAAAAATTAATTATGTGCAAAGTTTTTTTTTTTGAAAAATTTGAAAAAATTGATATTTTTTTTATGCAAAACTAAAATTTTGTATCTATAAAGGAGCATGATGATGGAATATTGTTTTGCAAACTGAAAAAAAAAATTAAAAATGAAAAAATTGGTAATGTTCTCAGTTTTAAAACTGGAAAAAAAACTGTTAATGTTCTCTGTTTTATTGGATAGTTGAATCAAACTAATAAGTAAAAGGGCAAAAACATTTAATCTCATGCTCTATTTTTTTTTATTAGTTAGTAAAACAATTATCTGGAACATTACTATGCAAAATTAATAATGTTCTTAGTTTAAAAATTGAGAAAAACTAATAATATTCTTAGTTTTACTAAATAGGACTTATTGGTTTAAAAAATTTTAAAAGCTATCATAACATTTGCAAATAAAACTTTTAGGTAATTAACTCTTTTTTTTAATCACGATTTTTATAAGCTGTTGCTAAAATTTACAATTATTAACTTTTTTGTGACAAATTTTTTAAAATGTCGCTGAAAGTTAAAAATTAATGACTTTTTTGTAACGATTTTTTAAACTGTCGCTAAAAGTTATAATTAGTGACATTTTTTGTGATAAAATTTCGAAATATCGTTGAAAATTAACAATTAGTGATCTTTTTTTAATAATATTTTATAGAAAAATACTATTAATTTTTATAAGACCTATTAAATAATAAGTTGACCTATTATGGCCTACATAAGTCCGCCATCTATCTCCTCTCTTTTCTTTTCTCTTCTCTTTCTACAATGGCACAAGTACAGAAGCTAAAGCTGGTTGTTGGTGCGTATTGTGGTTGAAGAAAACAGTTACTACCATTTTCACTACAAGCATGGATCCTTTACAGGATTTGTCTCATTTTGGGGCACCATCGGACCCTGCAAATAAATCCGACAGAGGATTTGGACTCTTTCACTATGTGCTTCGTTTGTGAATTGTCTATTTTAATTAATTTTTTTGGTAAATTATAAATACATTTTTTTAAATTTACTTAAAATATAAATTGTGTTTTATAATTTTAGAAATTACATCTCGCCTCAGAAGTTTTTTTAATTTTATAACAAATGACCATTTTTATTAATAAATCATCAAATTAATTAATAAATTTTAATGAAATCAAAATTTTATTTTTATTAATAATTCAAGTAATTTTTAATATTATATAGAAAAGCAATTATAAATTTTATTTTTTTTAGTTAATTTTTTTAAATAAAAAATTTCTGACAATAGGGTATTTGTAACTTTTCAAACGACAAGGGACAATTTGTATTTTAAACAAATATCAAGGAATGTATTTGTAATTTACCTTTGATTTTTTTTATATATATATTTTTTTTGTTTTATAAAAAAATATACAAAAAAATAGAGGGCGCACTATGTGATAACTTCAGATTTTCACTTTAAAAATTTGACAATTTTTCATAAAATTCAAATTTTCACTTTAAAATCATTTTTCTTAAATAATTACAAAATTCACATTTTGAACAAGGCATCCTATTGGACATTGGAGTATAGTTCAAATGGTCTAGTAAGCACATCTTAGGATACAGTGAGTGGGGTGTCAAGGATTCAAGTTGACAAAGCAGCGGCGAACTCTTCAGTCGTAATTCGAGTTGATAGAGCAGCGGCGAACCCTTCAGTCATAATCTAACTATATTAACATACTAACGCTATCTTTGACCAAAAAAAAAAGAACAAGGCATCCTATTGGATTGATATATTCCGTTATTTAAGTTATTTCGATATTGTTGTATAAACTGTCATCATACATAATGCTTAACAATTTTAAAGCTAAGAATTAAGGAGATTATGAGTAGCGGCCGACCTTGTGTCTGGTGATATAGATGTGTAAAACATTCCCATCTGATACCTAAGCCCCCGGCCCAGTTCTTTGGTCATGACAAACTAGTTTCTTAAGGGTTGGAGTCAATATAGGTTCTTGGACCCTAAAACCAATTAGCGGCTCTAGTTTTGCAACATTTATTTTTTTATCAGTTAGCCTATGTGGGAAATGATAAAAGATTTATGAATGTTGTACGAGTACGAAATAATCTTCACTCGTATAATCCTGTTGATCAAGCTTGCGTTCCTCCAAATGTTGTCATAACACTTGAAATTACAAACGTGAGCTAGCCGACGGGTGTGTGTCGGAAACCCTTCCAATGTTTAAGTCAGCGTATAAACTAAAGAAACAAAAGCTTTATGAATTTGGGAGTATGAATTGCAATACCTGAGTTGGTATGAGCTTTTGTAGATTCTGGATAGCACAATCCTGATAGGACTCTAACTCTCTTTTGTAGAGTACTCCTGGAAATCACATTCCTAAAGGATAATACTTATCCTTTGACACCCTCCTAACTAAAAGCCAATTGAGATGGCACAACTCTTTGCATGATTTCTAGCTGAGCAAATGAACTACTTGACTCTATCTGCCACTAACTTAGCCGTGTGCAATACGTAGCGCCTTGCATAGCTTGCTCAACACGTCATCTTGTTGATGCTACGCAACTTTTTCCCTACCTTGGTTGAAGCTTCACTCTTAACTCCGTTTGACTAGCTTGCTTGGTAGCTCGGCCATGGTGTTGACCGCCACTAGAAAGTAGCTAGGTCCAAAAATATGGACATTTACTAGTTCGGCCAAACATTTTTTACTGCTGCTAGAAAGTAGCTAGGTCCAGAAATATGAGCATTTACTAGTTCGGTCAAACATCTTTGACCGCCATTACAAAGTAGCTAGGTCCAAAAATATGGGTATCTACTAGTTCGGTCAAACATCTTTGATTGCCTTTCAACCTAGCTTCGGTCAAATCTTTGACCGCCAACATAGCTTTGGTCAAACCTTTGACCGCCTTCCAACATAGCTTCGGTCAAACTTTTGACTGCCTTCTAACTTAGCTCGGCTTTGGCTACACAAATTACCCTCTCAATTACCCCTTAATTCCATTTGTAGTGCATGATTGGAATTACTCTGTCCAACCGAGATACTTTGCCCTATCCAATAAAGCTCACCAAAATTGCTTAATCATAGGTTTCTCAAATTTGGACAATCCTACCAAGCTACTTTGCCGAGCTATCCAGCCGAGCAAAGATCTTTCGAAGTTGGACGATCCTGCCAACCTACTTTGTAGAACTAACCAGTCGGACAAAGATTTTTCAAAGTTGGACAAACCTGCCAATCTACTTTGCCAAGCTAACCAATCGGGCAAAGATTTCTCTAAAATCAGTCAAACCTACCAACCTACTTTATCGAGTTAACCAACTTAGTCAAAGATTTTCCAAAGTTGGACAAACTTGTCAATCTACTTTGCCGAGCTAACCAACGGAGCAAAGATTTCTCCAACTACTCGGAGCAAAGATTTTTCCAAAGATTTCTCCAACTTGTCAATCTACTCGGTCAAAGATTTTTCGAAGTTGATCAATCCTGTCAACTTACTTTGTCAAGCTAATCAACTCGATCAAATATTTTCCAAAGTTGGTCAATCCTGCCAACCTACTTTGCCGAGCTAACTAACTCGATCAAGGATTTTCCAAACTTGGTTAATCCTGCTAACCTACATTGCCGAACTCACCAGTCGACCAAAGATTTCTCCAAAGTTGGTCAATCTTGCCAACCTATTTGTTGAGCTCATCAACTCGGTCAAAGATTTTTCAAAGTTGGTCAAACCTGCCAACCTACTTTGCCAAGCTAACAAACTCGGTCAAAATTTTTCCAAAGTTAGTCAATCTGAAATAGTTGCCCCTAGGCCGTTTTAC